ATCTCCTTATTCCTCATCACTATGAAATCTTCTTAGTCTACTTCACTACTTCTACACTAATATGCACTTTTGTATACAATGGATGCGGGTGCGGTTGAGACATTGGGAACTTCACTAGGCTAGCGATTCTAAGCTATACTTGCCCTTGAGACACGTTCCCAGGCAAGCATGAGCTAGGATGCGTTATGAGCCAGGTACTTAGGAGCTGGGTGCGGGCAAGGTGGTGGCAAGCCGTTAACCCACCTGTCACATCGCTACAGACGTTGTACACGCATTCATCACCGTGCAGAGTGTACTCGCGATGGAACTCCTCTTCGAACTCTTCATGGATCTCGGCTAAATTTAGGTCAGATTCTTTGATCTTGTTCTTGGCCGGTCGTTGACAAGAGAAGCCACGACGGGCGCAAAAATATTGCAGGAGCGGTAGAAGGGAGTCAGTCGTAGGCGCATGAGGGCTTCTTCTTGGCCAGGTAGTCTATCATCCATGCTCGCTGGTTGGCTTTGATCCACGTGATCATGTGGGTTGTCGTGAGGGCACGCTCGTTGTCTCGTACATGGTTGATAAACTCGATGAGGCCAAGTGGTTCGGGAAACACCTCGTATCGTCCACCTGGCTCCAGCTTCTTACACTTAACGTTACCGTCATCAGCGAAGCTTTTATTTCCGCAAAGTCCGTCGCGGCTCATCCGCTGCAATGGACACTTTGTTGACGGACAACGTTTCTAACAAGCCTAACACCTCGAGCTTTGTCGATATCGGGTATGACTTTCCCCTCATTTTTTGAAATGCATGTCATATATATCAGACATATGTTTTTACGAATGGACAATGGCGGGAAGTATTTAAATCCCGCCAATCATCGTTGAGTATTTCAATTCTAAGTTCTGCTTGGAGATTAGGTTTTGTAATGCTGGAAAATCTTCTACTGGCCTTGCATTCCCTCGTTCTATGCACTCCATTCAGAGGCACGTTGGAGTCGTTTGAGAACAGTTGATGCCTTATACGCGGGCAAGGTCGTGGTGACGGCACGGATGCTTACAGTTGGAGGACTCCAAAAGCCAACACAAATGGCTTGCACATCGTAAATTGTGTCAAAACTAACGTTAACGCAAATATTAGTACCATTTTTTGGCAAATACTATTGGGTGAAATTGAACGAATAATAGTGCACGATTGGACGAATTAACAATGGTAAGCTGACGGGATCCACAGTCATTCACGGGGGTGTCTTGCGTTGAAGCGCATGCGCCTACAATCAGAGGCACAACAAAAGGCGGCAATGACTCCGAGCGTGGTCGATGTGCTAGATGAGCGCAATTGCAGCACAGTCGCGTTGCCGTGATGTATGGTGCTCGAGTTACTGTTGGTCATGCCTTTGTAGGTGTGCATCATGCAGTGAACTAACACTACCAGCACATGCCTTGTTGTAAGCTCATTGAACTTCGACGTATTCGGCAGGCTCTTGCCCATAGCCATGATTTAGTTCGCTTATCATCATTACGTCAGGGTTAGCGGGCTACCGGTATATACATCGGCAAACAGTCATGAACTATAGATTCTGACATCATGAACGCGCCATAAGTAAACGTCGAGCCAAGGAGTTGTAATGTAAGTGCTGTAGAGGATATGTATTGCTCCGAGGTGATGCCGGTACTTCGGAGCAACGCGTCCACGCAAGTCGAAGTTTTGTACAGAGCGATTGAAGGGATGATTTGGTAAGCCTACAAAGGAAGGAGGGGCCAAGGTGAGGCATGGATGCAATGCCTTAGCATTGGAGCGAATATACGTTTCATCGGTGGCAGCCCAGTGCTGTACAGGACAACGATATGCTTGCTCGCACTGTGTGTGCCGTTCAATGTCACAAAGTCGAAAGTGTTTCAATGTGAGTGCCATTCGTTTCGTTGGTACTTCAAATCGTTGTACAAATTATTACAGACTGATTGAGTTGAGAATTACGCAAACCCACTCCTTTGCAGAGACCAATAAATGGTCTCAACACAATCTGAGCGACTCGACACATATTTTTATTTGAAAAATGTCTCAATCTATAGTCGACACAAAATTGATTTGTGGAGGTTTTGGGAGTCCCCTATTCATGACGAAAAATACTACCGTAGTACATGCCTATTGTATTCCATCGTCGCATAATTATATTCGTATCATGCAGCCTGCATTTTCAACGGACTACAGGGGAATACTAGTCAGTTCAGAATTTGCTTCCTCGAAATCAATACACGGCGCCAAGTGTTCCTGGGAGTTGTCTCTCCCCCAACATAGAGTTTTGATCTCGTAGATATACCACAAACACGAGCTTACTTGCTCATAATCATAAGCGTGGGTGTACACAACTTTCCGCGACACTT